AAAACTCATTCATTTACTAAAAATTTTATTTTTAGTCAAAGACGACTCAGTCGTTTGGATTAATATCTTAATAACACACACAGACACACACACATGTCTGGTTTGCTATCCTTGTGGGGGACTCTCCATAGGCATAATGGTTTTTCTACTGTACAGACCGTATATTCTATCGCCCTACACCTAAACCTACCCCTACAGGAAACTCTGCATTTTTACATTTTCAAAAAACTTAATTCTGTGTGATTTATAAGCTTTGTAAAAAAAAGTTTTACTTACTTTTTAAGATATACTTTTTTTGGTCAATAGTCACAAAAGACATTCATATACAAAAAACTCATTCATTTACTAAAAATTTTATTTTTAGTCAAAGACGACTCAGTCGTTTGGATGTATATCTTAATAACACACACAGACACACACACACACACACATGTCTGGTTTGCTATCCTTGTGGGGGACTCTCAATAGGCATAATGGTTTTTCTACTGTACAGACCGTATATTCTATCGCCCTACACCTAAACCTACCCCTACAGGAAACTCTGCATTTTTACATTTTCAAAAAACTTAATTCTGTGTGATTTATAAGCTTTTGTACCCGTGGGGACCACAATTTAGGTCCCCACCGTGACACGAGTCCCCATGAGTCTGTGTGTAGTCAGGTTTAAGTCCCCACTACTGTACAGACCGTATATTCTATCGCCCTACACCTAAACCTACCCCTACAGGAAACTCTGCATTTTTACATTTTCAAAAAACTTAATTCTGTGTGATTTATAAGCTTTTGTACCCGTGGGGACCTCAATTTAGGTCCCCTCCGTGACACGAGTCCCCATGAGTCTGAGTGTATTCAGGTTTAAGTCCCCACCAGAATATATAAACCAGTACACACACACACACATATATATAATTGCAATTCCCGCATACCATGACACATCCCACATACACAATAAACATGCTCACCAAAGTTAGCACCTATGGCACATGTAGAGGAGTTGCAGAGTTACGTCTGAGCAGATTAATCATCTCTATTGCTGGATCCTGAGTCACAGATTTCTCAAGAAATGCATGCTGCTGTTTATCAAGTCTCAAACCTCCTCAAAAGCCTTCCTCATCTAACCACAAAGACAGTTCAAGCAGCTACATTCCAAAACAAGTCCACACATGTAATGGAGTAAAGATAGAGCCAGTATGATCCAGAGGAACTCAAAGCTCCAGGCTGTGTTGTTTCTTTGACTCTAATCTCTGCTGCACCGTTAATGGCTGTTAAACCAGTGATGTAATGGCTTGGGAAGGACATGCAAACAGAAAAACTACTCTACACTAAACTTCAATGGCTATAGCCAAAAACGTTATTGCTCAAGGTTTCTCAGTCATAGCTCAGGACAGGAGCCATAATGGAGTTTTGAATTATGATTATTTAAAGTGCCCCTATAATGCCATTTCGAATATTGTCCTTCATGCAGTGTGTAATGTAGCTGTATGTGAATGTAAACAATCTGCAAAGTTGTAAAGCTGAAGGTGCACAATAAATAAAGTTGTCCCCCAAAAGAAAGAATCAACTCTGAACAGCCGAAATGAGTCGTCAGTAATTCGAATCACACTTCCGTGACGGCTGCAAATCACAGGGTAACACATTTGCATAATGCCCGCCTATGTTCTACTCTGGCTGGCCGCAAACAACTTGACCCTGCCCTCAAATGCTGTAGCTTGTTGTTTGTGTGGTTAACATCATGTTGAGAAGACGCTGTTCCATTGTACCACAGCAGTACAACCCCAATCTTTTTTTGTATTCCCGTCATTTTACTGACGACTGCTTCTCTAATCGTGGGGAGTTCAACGTGGGATTCACAAAACGTTTGCTCTTGAAAGATGGCTCAGTACGAAGTTTATTTGAACCAACTGGCTCCACTGAATCACAACCTGCAAGTATGATAAATAATAGATGTTTTCTATCAAGTGTTCAGATTACAAAACTATGGCAATGGGTGTCTCGTTTCCGACACGTGCTGTACGTGGTAGACCAATCACAACAGACTGGGCTATCTGACAAATCAGAACTGCTTCAAACAAATCATTTGAGAATCGTTGGAAAATGAGGTGATATTACATGCATATTTTGAGAAAACAAAAGCTTTTTGACCTTGCATGCATGTAAACCTAATGTAGGAGAGTCCCAAAACAATATTACGAACCTTAAAAATGGTATAATAGGGGCACTTAAAAAAATTATTTTAAATCTTCACATCAGACGTTCTTTTTTCTAAGGCAAGGATTCCCAAACTTGTTAGTGAACCCAGTGCACATGCATTCCCAAATGCACGTTAAACTCACAGTGCTTGCAGAGATGAAGTTCATGAGAAGCAGAATTATAGCTGCATGCGTGTAAATGAACACAGTGATGCTTTTAATTCTGAAACACGTGCCGTAACAGACTATTTACTTTTCTTAAAGCCTTTAATTAATAATAGTTAAATAATAATAATTAAAAAAAAAATCCAAAATGTTGTGCAGAAGAAAGAAAGACATACAGGTTTGTAACAACCTAAATTTAAGCAAAACACATCACTGACACTAGCAAAAAAACAACGAAAGATCTAATTTGTTTTTTGAGATTGTACATACATGCATATTCAATTTAATCAAATCTTTTAATCTGTATTTACGGATCTCAAAAATCTGATGCACATCGACAATCAATAAAATAAAATGTACTAATAAAGACAATAATTCTCTTCTGCATATGAAGAGAACCGAAAAACTTGTATAACCTTGCTCAACACTTGGCACCCTGTTTGGCTTCAAGCCTGCTAATGTGTTCATGTGTCTTTACTTTTAGGCAAGTTCCTCTTCTTGCAAACCAGCTTGGCAAACACCCTCAGGCACTGAGAGAACTGTACAGTGCCAACATGACGACTGTAGCGGACCCCGTCCGAATGCTGGCCGAAACTTTACTGATGATTTGAAGTTTTATTACTTGTCCGTTTAGTCAAGAAATCACCGTAAGAGCTGAATGAAGCGATACAAAAATGTGCATTACCATTAGACATATTCAGCGATTTTCACAAATATTTGTTTTAACTAACAGTATACAAATACACAAACCTTATGCCTTTTCGGGGGGTGCCGAATAAACGTATAAACCGTCCTTTCATGCACGAGTTCTGTTAAGCCGTCATGAAGCGTTCGCTCTCCATGTCTGAATAAACTTATAAACCGTCCTATCATGCACGAGTTCTGTTAAGCCGTCATGAAGCGTTCGCTCTCCATACCATTTCTCATTACTCTCCGAGCAGTGAAAAGCAGATTCCGTTTCAAAATAAAAGTCCGCCATGAACAACGGAAATAATGCGATCCTTAGACAATATTTAACATACAAAATATATCAAAGGCAACGCAAAACAAATAGAGAAATTAAGGATAATTCTTATTAAAGTCTGTTACACTCCCACCAAATTATCAATGTTTCTGAAACATGACTAATTTTCACTTATAACATTTGTGTGTATGTAAAGTGCAATAAAGTCCTTTTGAAGATGTATTTACTCCGCTTCCAACAACAAGACCAAGAAAGACTCCCACAACTGCTTCTTTATTAGCTAAAGCTCTTTTAATATCTAAATCCAATAATAAAACAGAATCCATTGTGGATCTACCAATTCTAAAACCACTTTGATAAGGAGTAAAGTACTCCTGTTTCTCCAAAATATATACTAATCTATCAGTAACCATTCGTTCCATCCATACCATTTCTCATTACTCTCCGAGCAGTGAAAAGCAGATTCCGTTTCAAAATAAAAGTCCCCCATGAACAACGGAAATAATGCGATCCTTAGACAATTTTTAACATACAAAATATATCAAAGGCAACGCAAAACAAATAGAGAAATTAAGGATAATTCTTATTAAAGTCTGTTACAACGACAAATAACAGTATGTAGAAAAAAGGCCAAACTTTACAGTTTTAAAAGAAAATCTTGTGGAAAAAGGGCTGACACAAGCTTGTTCTGGCACATGTCCTTGTGTGAATGAGAATCTGACATGAGTTTGACTATGCAAACACATTACTTTGCATCTACAAATGTCAAAATGACCATGCACAAAAAGACCTGATTCAGGTAAACCTTGGTGTGCATATATTAAATGTTGAAAATGTACAAGGGCAAAGATATTCGCATGCATACATGCAACAAAAGATGACTGTCCACTGATAATTGGAGTTCTGAATTGACATCTGTTTTGGACTTGCAATGTAAAAAATATTGAAAAAAGTTTGATTGTATTCAAAGCAGTTGCTAGGGTGGATTCAGCAAAAGTGGGACATCATGTAAAATGAGGCAAATTAGTTTAATGTTTGATTGCCCTTTAAACCCAATCTAAGTTATTCTGGAAATGTTTCCATTTCTCTGACATCATACTGGTGGATGTGATCAAGCTTCAACATCTAACGGATCTCAGCCTATAATCTGGCTTTACATGGTGTCTAGTTGAACCATGCTGTTCATTTGTGATGTGAGAGATTGACTTGATGCACCTTGATCAAGTTTCACCCATAACAAATCAGATACCAGGTTACAAAAAACACCTTAAACTAATATGACACGGGTTTTCCAGCAGGAACCTGGCTGTAATTTATGATTCTTATAAGAAAATGTATTCATTGTAATATTTTGTAGCAAATAGATATTGGTAATGACTCACTTTACCTAACAAATGTTAAAGTCAATCACTATCAAATAGAAATTACGCTAAATATTTGAATACATTTATATTTAGGAAGCTGTGGCATCACAAACCCCTATAGGCTCAGTTGTTATACAAATTTATCAAAACCTGTTTGGATAGATCACTGTATTTAAAACAAAAACAATCTCTTTAAGTACATGTCTTTACGTTTTAAAACATCTGCAAGTGTGAATGTACAGCGTAAGATAAAATGAATAAGATAAAATCACTTATTACTGCAATGCAATGGCAACAACATCTGGAACATCATCTTACCACACTTTTATTGATCTCTTCCTCGTTACCATTCATCACAGCATTATCAGTGCATGTGGACCCTTGCAGAGCAGGTTTATGTTGAGACTGCACCAATTCGGAGAGTGTCGGTTTGGAGCTGATGGTTCTTTTCAGCATCTGGATCTCGGCACCGAGCGACGCTGCTGCTGCGGCCGCCGTACCGACACTCTGCTCCGGCATGCCGCAGCGCGTCCTCCCGCTCTCACCACCATCCGAAGCGGCTGGCGCGCTGTGCAGATTGGGCTGAGACGAAGACACCGCACGGTCCAAACCATTTGGTCGTTTCTTTTTAAATATCCAAAACCCACTTTCTTGCTTTTTGTCTTTTTTGCCCAGTTTGGGACTGCCAGTGAGTTTGGGTCTGCCGTGGAAGGACTTCCACGAGCCCCGCTGATGCTGATGATGTGATGGAGAAACATCCATGTCTAGTTTCCCTTCCATATGATCTCTGCAGTCTGCTGCTGCGTCCCAGTCTGAGGTTTCTGTGAGGTTAATGTTGAAAACATGCAAAACGATGCAAATATAGCATTTACTACAGTGTTGTGCTCAGCAGGACATGTTGAGGGTTAAAAGCATGTTTGATGCGGAAGAAGGCTAGAGTGATGGAGAGGCAAGTTGTTCCTCAGCACATCTGCAGACCTTCATGGTTTTATGAAACGAGACAGTTCCCCCGTCTGTGGTCCTCATCCACGCCCAGTATTTCAAAAAAGTTGCTGTTACCTATAGCTTACTAAATAAATGTGTCATCTATGATCACGCAATGCAGTGTTCCTGCCCACCGAGCTTTTATTTACATAAAACGCTTAACGTGGCTTAATGCGTTTTTAAAAGACCAAACTCAGTAAACGCATTATTAATAAAGCATACTATGTAGGGACAAGCTGATGAGCCCAGAATACGAATGCAACACGTTTAATTACGCGTTAAGCGTTTTCCTCCCATATAGAAAACCGCGTTAAAACAGAAATAATAAAACTCAGAAATAATGATAAGCTAGTTGTGCTTTGTTGTAATTTATGAGGAGAACATCTATGTTACTTACAAATTGTTGTGCAGTTTATTAGTAGATTCCCAAACTCTGGAATAGCCTTCCTGATAACGTTCTGGGTTCAGACACACTCTCTCTGTTTAAATCTAGATTAAAGACACATCTCTTTGGCCAAGCATTCAAATAATGCATCTCATAATCTTTAACTGCAGTTATATCTAATCAAATGCACATTATTATTCTTTAGTTTGGGTTAAACAAATCAATTTTGCTTGGTTGGAACAGCAGCTACGCTAATTATGTTTGTATCTGTTTCTCTGTCTTTTGCCATAACTAGGATTTACACAAGCTTCACTCTGGATCCAGAACACGTGAGAAGAGATGATGCAAGCTCTCAGAGGACCTCAGATGATGCCAACCGTATACACTTGTTTCGGTCGACTTGGTTGTCTTCAACGAATCGAATCGGCGAGTGAATTGTTCGAATCTTTCGATTGATTTGAATCACTGGGAAGATTTAATACCTGAACCAAATAAAAAATAAAATAAAATTGTAATGGAAAGTTAATTTGGATATTAATAAGTTAAATTATATCATGAGCAACATAAAAAGTATTTAACAACTAACACTAGCTTTCTATTTTTTCTATTCTACTCGTTTTTTTCTTTGTGCGTGTGTGTGTGTGTGTGTGTGTGTGTATATATATATATATATATATATGTATAAAATACCTTGCTACGTGTACTGCGTATAGGCTAACCAATACTTGTCATTTGCACTTACGTATGATTGCTCTTTTGTTAGTTTTGATTGCTTCTTTTGTCCTCATTTGTAAGTCGCTTTGGATAAAAGCGTCTGCTAAATGACTAAATGTAAATGTAACAATGATGAAAAGATGTACAGATCAGACAGGTTCTACCACAGAGGATGTGTTTATTTTTCAAAGGAATCATGATATATGGCAGATGGTGCATTTGTCATGCTCATAACTTGAGTAAACACATACAGGGCACACAAATCAATATCTCAATGCATCCATGTAAAACCATCAACAACAGGGGACATAAAAGATGTTAGAGCCTATTCACTGATAAAGATTGTCTGATATCCATTTTGTGAAATATTATGTATAATGTGGTGTTTTAGGACTGGAACAGTCGTCCTAAGTGGCATATCATAAAGAATTACATGTTTATGTTCAATCAATAAATAAACAAAAGGTTGGATGAGTGAAAATTCTCTTCAACATACAGCAGTCGTACAACAAATTTTGCAATTCAAGGTGCTCTGATAAGGTCTTCAGAGACAAATAAATTAATGAAGAATGAAAAATGATTAAAGTATTTGCTTTAATACTGCAAATGTTTTCATACTTCTAAACCTTGTTCAAAATGTAATAACTTGTTGGTATAGCTGCTTTAAAAGTAGAAAAATCACTCAAATATTTAGTTTTGCACTTAGTGCTTTTGTTTTAAGCAAATCGGCCCAGGCACACAAACTCGCACACACACATTACTAAAAATAATACAAATTGGGCTAGAAACAGCTCATAAAAACGGCAGACAAAAAACAATAGTACGACAGAACATTTGCCATGTCTACTGTGAATAAAGCAGCAGTCTTTGCCATGGAAACAGTCATACAGCATCACATGGACTGTACAAAGTGTGAAAACAAACTATCACTAAATCTTTTAGCATTACTAAATATTTCAACTTGGAGCTTGGTTTTAGATACCAGGCTCAGGTGAAGTGACCCTTTTAACCGCAGTGCTCGACACATGCATTCATATCTGTGTTGTGTTTGACATACAAATACATCTGTTGCTTTCCCTACTGCATATCCTTCAGTGTGATGTTAAAGTGTTACGTGGCTGCTTGTGTAAAAGTGCAGACAAGCTGAAATCAGCCGTTTTCGTTCAGGGCGGCGTTCACAGGTCCTGTTCGTGCATCTGCTGCTGCATTTTTTGAAGCATCTCCTGCATCCTCCGCAACTTTGAAAGACAAAGTGAATAATATTAGGCAGATTCAGCATTTAGAGTTGCAAACAGGATCTAAAATTAACACTCGCTAAGCACCAAAGGCAAATAAAACCCAGCATTGGTGATAGAATGAAACCCGAGAATGCATTATGGTTTAGCACGATTATCAAAATACAAAACCTGCGTTGTAATTATATAAATAAGTAATCTTGAACATGCAACAAGCACCAAATATCTTACCAAGTTTATAATGAGAATGGTTTATAAATCTGTTGTCAAAAAAAGAGTAGCATTTCAACAGAGTTCCCTGCAGTTTTACACCAAAATGAAAGATTTATGGTTTAACATTTGAAAGCAAAGAAAAAAATCAACCATAAATATTAGTATTGTAATTGTACTGTTGTTATATAAAATAATAATAAAAATAATAATTAGTATTTTTATATAAATTATTATTATTATAAAGTACTTTACAGTTCAATAGTATTATAGTGATATTTCTTTATTAATTTGTTTGATAATAAAAATATTAATAATTAATAAAACAAGTATAATAAATAAAATGATGATTATTATTATTATTAAATCAAATTATTATTTATAATAATATTGAGAATTGCAATTAGATGTATTTCGACAATTTGTTCTGCCTGATTTTTAATGAAATAATGCACTTACCATTTCATGGTCGGTAAAAAATATTTATGGCCAGTAAATTTTCTCAAGTCACTGTCGATTTTGTGGCAAAATGTTTTAGGCCCGGATTGCAAATGTCTCAAAAACACAATTTTCTATATATTTTTGTGCTCAATGCCACATTTATTAAGTGTCAGCTAAGAACTGAAATAACTAGATTAAGCAGGACAGCTGTCTCACCTCTTCATCTTTCATCTTTATCAGCTTTTCTGTCTCTACGTCTGGGGTGGACAGTGGTAGTATCGGGATGGGGCTCTCCACGCGATTATCCTGGGTCAGTTTGCTGGTGGAAACAGAACATCTTATAAGCGATAAAGTCAATATATTTTTCTATGATATTTGAGAAAAGCATTGTGACTTGCCTTGTCATTTGCTGTATGCACTGCGCTCTGTAGTTTTCATAGTGCACGTCACACGTGATGTCTTTCAGGTCATGCATGTGTGAGCGAATCAACATGTTCCTCAGCTTGACGAAATCACAATGGGACTGATTCTCCACTGTGACAAAAAGTATGTGCACAAATCTGTTTGTGAAACCTTTGTATACATTTATGGTTAGCTGGCACTCGGTTGATTAAAACTTATTCTTGATGCATTTGTTCTTATCAGTAGAGAGTGTGTCTCATGCAAAATCTAGATATTCAAGCGTAGATCCGTACTGACCTTCCACAATGCCCCATGGGTAAAGTCTCCCTCTCACCCGCTGACCTTTGACCTCCACTATGGTGTTGCTCCCAATCACAGCAAATGGAGTGCTTTCCTGAAACACACAACATAGAACATTTCGATTTTTTGCTTCTAAATTTGAATGTTTTTAAAAGATTACATTAGTTAAAGTTCTCCAGGAAGCGTTGAGTTTACAGCTATTTTTTGAAGATTGTGACGGACTCCATTTTTCAGGTGAAATATTTGTTTTGATTTTATTTATGTTTTATAATTTTTTTTATTTGCTTTTAAGGTGTACATTAATTAGTCAGAGTTCAGTTTACAGACTTTTTTCTTTTATTTTTTTCTTTGAAGATTACGATGGACTTCCTTGTTCAGGTAAAATATTAAAATTTGTATTTTATTTTTTTTTGTTATTTTTTTTTTAAATTTGTTATATATATATGTGTGTGTGTGTGTGTGTGTGTGTGTGCTTTTAAAGTTTACATTAGTTAGTTAGTCAATTTCTGCAGGAAAAGTTGAGCTTACAGTCGTTTTTCAAAGATTGTGATGGATTCCCTTGTTCTGGTGGAATATTTATTTGTATTTATATTTAATTTGAATGCATTATTTTTTATTTAATTTAATTTTTACTTAAAATGTTTTATTATTATTATTATTATTATTATTATTATTATTATTATTATTATTAATTTTGCGAAATTATCTGCAAAATGTGCCAGTGGAGTAGTTAGCAGAGGCTAACTGGATCAAACTAACCAACCAACCAAACCTCAAGCCCTTTGCTGGAGGCAGCTCACTTGGTTTTGGATGAAATACTTAGATTCTTAGTCAAACTCATAAAAGTTTTAATCTAG